GAGAGAATCCTACTCCTTATGTTGGATCTTCCCGCTTAGTTTTTCTATTCATTTTATGACTAATACAACCTTAATTAATATTTGTTTAGTTTTCCAAATGCAATTGATATGTATGAATAATTATTAATTACTTTAACTTATGAATTGATCAAGAAGATGGAAGATAAATTAGAATCTTAAACTTGTCATGCGTGGATAGATAAGTCATACTTTGCTTAGACTACAAGCCTCTAACCAATTAAAAATAAGTTTCGTAATGAAATAGTATGGGGAAATAAGTTAGGATTATGATAATTAAATTTGAGATTCAACTATCTCAAATTTAACGAAAATAAAAAGCCCATCGAGTAATTACTATTGCGTTAATAGGTCTGAAAAGAATTAGAGATGAAATCATTTGATGTAAGTTATATTTTAATTTGTAAGGTTTTCAATGTGCGATTTTTTACGTTCTTTCAACAAAATCTCATGAGTTGAAAGGAAGAAGGGAGATAATGAACACCTCATCACAAGCGTAGATTTTAAGCTCCACCAATGAGTAGTTATGCAGGAAGTTCTATGGGATTCCAACTTCTCACTTTGATTCTGTAACATGTGTTCTAAAGCTTTTGGGATTTTCTCCTCCTTCTAACTTGGCCTTGACCAAAACAAAACCACCTTGACAGACAAAAAGAAATGAATATGCATGAATTTTATAGCCGGAAAAGATGTGTACGAACGTGCAACGTCCGGCCAAGAAGTGCATGTGGGTTGTGGAGGTCAGCTGAGTCATGAACCGGTGCACAGCACGTGGTTAGTGAACCTAATTTCAACAAGAAGTGCTGCTGCATGACACAATCCTCGCAACATGGATCATTACATCTTCCCTACCTTCCTTTCCTTTAATTAAGTTATGTCACTCTCCATTTTTAGAGCCTTTGAGCTGTCACACACATACATATCATGATTAGGTGAACGTCCAAATGAATAATATAAACCTTCTAATAAAATAAAGAAAATAATTTTGCACGTCTTTGTTTTTACATCTGTTTATTCTTAGTTGTTGATTGTGTTTTCTTATACGTTCAATCTAAGGATTAAAAATAAATAGACGTATGTAAGACAAACAAAGAGAGTGCGGAAATCAATTCTTTAAAATAGGTCAGAATAAAATAAAACAATAGATTGTTTACTCTACCACAACAAAGTTGATATTGACTATTACTCTGTATCAAGCTCGTTGCAAATGTATTATTATTTTTGTTCGCGTGAATCAAACTTTGAGATTTTCTCTAATCAAATCGTTACTGGGTGCAACTAAACCAACCGATTACATGTGCAATAAAATAAAATTTGATTAAATTGAGGTAGTAGTGATGAGTCATAAGTCGTGCATGAAAATTTGGTTGCAAGTTTCCATAATGTGTGTGCCTCAACCACTTGGCAGATGGACCAAATTTTCTTTTAGTTTATTAAGTGTTGTATGTATCATGATGTTGTTTGGTTGCTTGGGCTTCCCTTCCTTCCTGGTCGAGGGTTCATTTATGTCACAGAGATGTGGGGTTTGATGAATTCCTCAGTTTTGGTGCATATACACAGTACTATACTATCTGTGTCAATAATGCACCTGACGTTCCCAAATTTTTATAGCTAACTTAAAAATTAAAAGATAATAATTACGTTCTTTTATAGGAATGCACATATCTTACTTCTTTTAAATATATAAATTTCACAATCGAAATTGTTCAACTTCTTAATCTTTATTTGAAGATCATCCATACAAAAAATCATTTGAATTGGAACTTCTAGTCATTTGAATGTACATAACAAATCGAGAATGTAAGTATCAAGTAATATATTCATGATGAACCATCTATTTATTCGATATATTCGAATGACTAAACAATCTCCGATTCGAATAATTTTTTGGAGAGATGATTTTCCAATAAAGATTAAGAAGATTAACTGTTCCAATTTAGAAATCTATCCGAGGAAGATACCTAATCTGCGAAAAGGTAATATCTGCGCAATCTCCCGTAGAGAAACACAATTATTATTCAAAATTATTGAGTTCCTTTTTTTTTCTTTTTAACTTGGAAATTGACAAACAAAAGAAACTAAATTATTGAGTTTGTTGCATGCCGAAAGAAGTAGGAAGGGAAGAAAAATTGTTATTTGGAAATGGCAAGAAAAGAAATATTTTAGTTGAACAGGAAAAATGGAGAGAAACCCTAAGTTTTGAAATGTCAAATATGTTACGATCCTACTAGAAATTCCCTTTTTTTTTTGTTTTTTTTTTTTTTTGGAAATGTCGTAATTCTTGAATTTTCTTAGCAAACACAGTTTCATTGAATATTCAACAATTTAAAAAACAACCTAGTCAGAGAGTTTCTAGTACAAGTTTGTCAGCCACACAAATGGAGGTATTCAATTTCTTACCTAAATATACAGACAAAATAATGGCTCCTAAAAGAAAAATATTGAGTTTACCGAGAGATTTTTTAGTGTGACCGTCATATGAGATGATACACCATGTGTCACTATATAAATAGTATGATATGTGTGTTAAAAAGTTAATAACTTAAAAATTAAAATTTTCTATCACTTGCATAAAAACACATGATGTACCACTCATGTTCCTATCACAACTCAAAATTTCTCGAGTTTACCATCAACTGGTGGGGAAATCCTCGGGAGACTCATATGGATCGTTAGGATATTTCCAGCCAAGGGTCATAAGTTGAACTTATTTCCAGTCATTGTTGATTTTGGTCACTTATCTTAATCCTTTATTATTAGGTCTTCATAACTTTAATATCACCATCATTGAAATAAACGTTGGAACACGAAAGATCTTTTAGTGTGCCAAAAACATGACTCAATACATCAAGTAATACAAAATTATAATTTTTTTGGTTTGTTTGAAGGTTTTCCACCGTTGATGTCAATTTCTTTAATTCTTCAATCACTTGAAGGAACTTTGTAGGTTGAACACATATAGGTAGTAGCTAGTTGTGTTGATATTCCATCGTTATTCCAAAGGGGGATCATAGCATTGAGAGATTATTACGCACTAACTAATCATATCTTTGAAGATCTTTAAAGTTCAAAACCAACTCAACAAAAAGAAAAAGCATCAAGTGAGTCACTTTTATTTGGCCCGACATAGAGTTGAGGTCTCACTTAAGCATCGGTGTTATACATGCTCTTCCATGACGAGCACTTTTCTTATAGACAAACTTTTTATGTTTGACAGCTACATCATCATGTGATGTTAATAATTTACGTTTTATAATATGAAAACAGAATTAAAAGTATTCGTTGTCACCCGAGATTCTAAGAGTAATGTAAAGCTATGGTGGCAGACGAGATATAAGGACATGTGGGAGTGGAGGGATATTGCGAGATTAACGCATGAGAGTTCATAATATATGATTTAGGACGAAATTGTTATTATGTCATGAGTCTATAGTATAATATTAATACGTAAATGCATATGTTATAACACCAGCAAATTGATCAGAACTTTGTTACAATATTACAGTTACACTACCGAAATTCTTGCTTTTATGATACTAAAATTGGAGACCAAATCTAGGATGGATGCTCACCTAGTTCTAGTATTATATACATTATGTGGGTTCGAAAGTAAATCTATCTCCTTTTTTATCCCATACCATCCCATGTTATCAAATTAGTGGGAGAGAAGGACATAAGGAAATAGCCATTATTTGGGCCATCAAAATCCAATACATGATGGGATTATGTAATCCACCACTAACGAATTCTTAGCTGCCTTTTGCAACTTTATGTAGATGATTTATTTTATGGGGCACCTAGTCCTGTGCATTATTGTGCACTAACAGAACAGTTACAACTGCTCCTGAAAAAATAAACATGGGTTTTATTTGCGTTTTGAGTAGGTATGACAATTTTTTGTATGATCTGTTAATCTGACAAGAAACAATACGAAAATAACATGTTTTGGGTCAATCAGATAATGAGTCGAGTTGTTTTTGGGTTACCGGTTAAGAACCCTTTAACAAATCAAGTTGTTATCGAGTTACCTGTTAAGAACTTGATGAGATTCATTTGCCACATCTAGACATTAGGCACGATAATTTCTTACATGATCCATTAACCAGACACAAAACGACTTGACCCGTTAACGAATCAGGTCGTTATTGGTTCATTTGTTAAGAACCCTTTAAGATAACATATTTGATACGACACAAACCATTAAGATAAATTGTATGATACAAAAACGACACGAACATGAATAATTTAGGTCAATTCGGACATAAGTTTTGTGTTGATTTATTTATATAAAAGTTAAAAACATCTAACAAAAAAGGACCAATTAGCTGGAGATGCTTGGTTGAAATGGGTTTTTTTGTATTGTGCTCCAATTTGCATTTGACACCTGGGCACCTGGTTTGATTTTAGACCAAAACCAATGGGGAAGACAAAGACTGCTCTTGGTTTCTTTCATGTGTCTGTCTGTTTGATTTGGCAACAGTGCATACCATGTTCTCCAGGTTTGTTTTGGTTCCTAGTTCTTGCACTAGGAGCTGCTTTAATCAACCACCCACCAAAAGGGAAGATGAAGATCAAACTCAAGTCACAGTTTTAGGTCGTGTTTATTTATTTGGAATGAGTAAAGTTATGAATCGGGGAAAATAAGAATAAGAGAGGAAATTCAAACGTGACCGACTACTCCCACTTAATTAATTTAGAGCGCGTTTACTAACTTAGAATGAGATGAACAAGAGTTAGTCTTATTCCAGGCTTCTCGTTTGTTTACCTACATAAGAGAATCAAGAAGTTATAGCCGTGGACAAAAATCAGGAACGCGATTGCTATTGTGTACGGAGATGCAAGATCGGCATTAATTCCAAGCAAACCAGCACTATTAATAAGAGCACCCTTTACAAAAGCCCATTAAGGCCCAATATCGGAATTGTTTGGTGCAACGGACGTAATGTCACTAACCCACCCCGTTGTGGTAAAAATGGACAACATAGTTAACAAGCGCTGTAGATCCATAATACGAACAACAATATCCACATGTTATACATGAGTAAATTGATAATATCACGTAACTGCGGAATGACATTACACCGAAAAACTACTCAGAACTGAACAATCACAAAACGCTAAGTTGTGCCGAATCTATGGTCTTCAAACAAATACACATGTTAGGAACTTTCGTTTTGCTAACAAGGGGAAAATGTGGCACGCATCGATCAGAAGCTACCAAATCGGGATTTTTTTACATCGATTGTAACCGGAACTGCATGCATCACCGAGTCTTTCGACATCAGATTATCTTGTCTGCCTCTGCCTTCATTGTTCTTTATACATAATCAAAGCGCACACATTGCACCCTTAGTACCGTAAACATCGACGAAGATTAAATATTTCTTCACACAATAATTCACAAGAACTCGAAGAAGATTAAACGTAATCAGAACATAAGCCAGCATCAAAGATAACCACCTGTCATAATTTTTATTTCCGCATTCGAGGACAACACAAATACAAGTAAGAAGGCGAAACCCTACCAATGTGTTGGTACTTGAAATTATTGAACATGTTCCTATCCTACATGATACCAACCTTTTAAAATTTCTCATGTCACTAAAAATGGGGGAGGACAAACTCCATCAGAGGAAAATCAATAAAAGTTTGAAAAAGAACAGGTTTACTCAAGATGTCATTCCTAGGAAGGAAACATTCAATTGAATCTTGAGTAAAATTTGAAATTCTTCCCCATTCTCGCCCCGCCCGAAAGGGATTCAACAATCAAAAAGGAAAGGGGGAATTACCAATTAGCAAGACTCCTGTGTCGACAGACAATCCAATCTTGTACATCCGTATCTTCAGCACCCCATCACTGCACAATTATAGACAAAGTGACCCGATTGCTTCCTGGCAAGTAAGTTCCAGTGTGGAGGGCCATCACCTGGAGCCCATGCATTGATCTCTATGAAACCTTCGCCTAGAGTCCTTGGCCCGCCGATAACAATAAGCCGGTCTCCACAAGCCCTGAATGCAAGACCCCAACCATTCATTGAGGCAGCCCGCTCAGGCAATCTCCCCACCGTCAACCATACTCTTCTCTCCTTGTCATATTTCCTCACCTCCATGTCAGCATAGTCAGCAGCATACAATTCATTATTTACCACAGCAACCAGAGGCGGTGCCTCCCCTGCAGGCACATCATTCTCTCTGGCTGCACCACTCCGTCCAGGAGACATGTTAGGTATTTCTGTCCATGTTCTTGCCTTTAAATCATATTCTTCACCGCATGTAAGAACCCTTGGATCACTTCCCCCAATCCCACCAATAACATAGAACTTTTCATCCATAAAAACCCCAGAACACATCTTCCGGGGCTTATTCATGCTCGGGAGCATCTCCCAACTCTGAGTCTCAGAATTATATAGCTCTGCGGAGCTGAGTATATTTCCCTGAGAGTCACAACCACCTGCCAAAATTGCAATCTCCTTAAGGCTGGCAGACCCAAACAAGCATCTCGGGGCATTCATCCTCATTCCAGAAGACCATGAGTTTGTCAAAATACTATACCTAAAGATTACATGGGAAGTCACCTCCTTACCAAATACAAGAAGCTCAGTTCCCACAGCGCAAGATTCCTTATCGGAACACATGAAACATTCATTGGAAATCATCCTCGGCAAGTGCATCCACCTGCCGGAATTGGGATCAAAGGCTTCCCATTCAAGTAGGTCGCAAGAGAAATAAATCCAGTGCTCAGTGACATCATTCTGCCTCCTCAGTTTATAGAGCTCCCCACTCCTAACTAACGAGCGGAAGCTCTGGTTCAAAGAGGCAATGAGACCATAATCAGACCTAGAACAGCGAATTAGACAGCTGATCGAGTTATCCCTACCAATCCTATGTATAAGGTTATCCGAATCTGAAGGAACCCCAGAATGCTGCTGATCGTCCGATTGCTCACACGAAGACTGATTCATGTCAGTCTCCACCATGTCACAACAATCCAACAGCTTACACAACTTCCTCTCTCGATGCTCTTCGTCATCCTCGCTGCCGTCGAACCCCAATGGACGCTTTCCGTTGGCAATATCTTCGAGCCGGCGGTAAGTCATATAAGGCCACTCGCTTTCAGGCTGGCAAAAGCTCGGAAACACCCTCGAAAGCAAGCAGGACCGATCCTCCAACATTTCTCCGTGAAACAATCAATGGAAGGCCACCAAATTCAGACCCAAATCCTATCCAAAAGCCTCTATCTCTGGGTAAAAAGAAATTGAAAAATTCCAAAGATAAATTTTCGAAAAAAACTAATCCCCCAAGTCCCTCGGAAAATTCAGTCAAAATACAACCTATCAGATTCCATTCAAAAGTAAAAAGAAGTTCAAATTTATTTGTCAGAAATAGTATAAAAACCCAATCGTTATCACTGATTGCATGAACCGGATGAAGAAAGTCTAACTTTTTCAGAACTATCCGTCGAACTTTCACCCTTCCAAATCCAATCGACCAACGATCCAGATGGGTCTTCTTCAAAAACCAATCTTTCAGTTATCCTTTTCTTTTCTTCTTTCAAAAGTCAAATCAAAACCATAGTTTCACAGATAATTTATACCCAGAAACATAAAAAGGAAAATTCATGTATTTCAGAAATGAACATCGGGTCGATGTTGAACCTTTAAAATCTGTAAACCCAGCGAATCTATTGAGCAAAAAAAGCAATGGAAATCAGAGTTTAAGTTCTAATTAACCCAGAAACAATAACACCATGCTAAAAAGGAGAGATTAAAAAAATGCGAGGGACTTACGGATTGGATAAGAAGAAAAAGGACCTGCTTGGAATTTTCAAAATCTCTCTCTCTCTCTCTCTCTCTCTCTCTCTCTCTCTCTATCTCTTTCTCTCTAACTGTAACTCCGAACTCTCTGTTTCTGTTCTTCGCAGTTCTCTCTCTCTCTCTCTCTCTGTCTCTCTCTCCCCAATTGTCTGTCCTTTGGATACTCTCTGCAAATCAGAGAAAGCTCTGAGCTTCGGCCTTTGGAGCAAATATCTTTAGCGAGGCCCCCTTTCTCTCTTAAACCTTTCATTTTGCATTTATAAATTATATTTTATTTTTTGGTTTGTTGGCTTAATATTTCTACGTTACTTTTTCAGATCCTAAAATAATATTATATAATGCGTTGATTAATAGAAGAAGGAAGAGAAGACGTGATGGATTAATAGTTTGAAATTTGTTTTAAAATGACTAAAAACGTTTCGTGAACATTTTAAGAGTATATGGAGTGCATTTTAGAAGAAGTATTGTCACATCCCGGTTCGGACTCTCACCACATCGTTGATTCGACTCCATCATAACACGATATTGTTCGTTTTGGGCCCCGACCACACCCTCACGGTTTTGTTTCTGGAAACTCACACGAGAACTTTCCAATGGGTCACCTATCATGGGATTGCTCTCGTGCAAACTCGCCTAACTTCGGAGTTTCGATGGAACCCGAAGCCAGTGAGCTCCTAAAATGGCTCGTGCTAGGTAGAGATGAGAATATATATATATAAGGCTTACAGTATCCACTCCCCTGGGCGATGTGAGATGTTACAATCCACTCCTTAGGGGCCTGACGTTCTCGTCGGCACACATCCAGCCATGGATTGGCTTTGATACCAAATTGTCACATCCCGCCCTAGGCCCCCACCACATCCTGGGCTCGACTCCACCGTAATACGATATTGTCCTCTTTGGGCCCCGACCACGCCCTCACGGTTTTGTTTCTGGGAACTCACACGAGAGCTTCCCAGTGGGTCACCCATCATGGGATTGCTCTCGCGCGAACTCGCTTAACTTTGGAGTTCGATGGAACCCGAAGCCAGTGAGCTCCCAAAAGGCCTCGTGCTAGGTATAGATGAGAATATACATATAAGGCTTACATGATCCACTACCCTGGACTATGTGGGATGTTACAAGTATCAATTACGTAACTTGCGCTTCTTGTAGTGGTTTCAAATGAGCTTTTGTCACATTTTTAATCATTCTAAAAACATTTTCAAACACATCCAAATATATATAAAGGCCATTTTTTTTTTGGTCCTTGTGGTAACACGACACTTTCAATGTGACCCTCGTGGTGAAAAAATTGTTAATTAAACCCTCGTAGTAAGCCTTGTTAGCAATTGAGGTCCAATCCAAACTTCCGTTATTCTTCCGTTAAATAAACTCATATGATTATCACATAGAGGGGTCAAATTCGTCATTTCAATTCAAATTACATTGTATGCAATGGACATCTAGTATGACTTAGGGTTTAACTGAAATTAGATTTTACCAAAAAATAAAAAATAAATAAAAAAACTTAAACGCAGTGAAACTAAACTTATAAAACCTTGTCAATGGCTAGGAGAAGAGGTAAATGTGAAGTCGTGCCTAATTTCTTAGGTATGATTTCGTTTGGAAATCCTAATACTTTTAATAAACTTTTGTTTTTTTTTTTCAATGCCAACACGTCTTTAATCATGAGTTAGATACTTAGTCTTATTTGAATTTTAATTCTTCTATCAATTTGTACCAGTCTGCATATATGCATTTCAATTTTGTCTTTAATTCGTAGTGTGGTTTGATGCATGCCGTGGTCTTGCAGTACACAACCTTTCAATGCACCATGGAGTCCTCCGGGAATGACCTCTGCAATATCATCAAATTCTATAAATCCTTGGAGACATTCTGGAATGGCCTCAATGCACAACATGCAAAATCAACAGATGAAAAAGCACAATACCTTGCAAATAAAAATGATGAAGCGGAGGAAATTGATTTTATTTTGTGAAAAACTAGATTATTTGTTTATTTTGTGGAAAGCTTTTTTAATTACTTTTTGTTATGATGAACCACAATATATTGTGGAAGACATACTTTTGTCTTTTTATTTTATTATATTTTTTTCCCGGGTTGGATATATGCTTTTGTCATTAATGTGCAAACTACATTATGGTATAAGAAATGATGAAGTTATTTTTTCTCTCGTGAATGGCTAATGTAAATTATGTCCCCTTTTGTTTCAATTTGCTTTGTACACTCGAATTAGATGCCAACTCACAAGAGAAACAAGTGCATGTCATAACTCACCCAGAAAGAACACACGTATATAGTATACCTAAGTCATGCTAGATGTCCATGGAATATGATGTAATTTGAATTGAAATGATGAATTTGACTCATCCACATGATAGTCACATGAGTTTATTTAACGGAACACTAACGGAAGTTTGGATTTGGACCTCAATTGCTAATAGGGCTCACCACGGGAGTTTAATTAATAACGTTTTCACCACAAGGGTCACATTGAAAGTACCGTGTCACCACAGGAACCAAGAAGAAAATTTGGCCATATAAAAAAAACTTTTAAGTTCACCTATCATGATATAGTGTTACTAATTTACAAGTTAAAACAACAAATTGATAATGAATTACATCATTGATATGTTATGAATTTATATTACAAAATTAGTAAATAAATTATGCGTGTGTCTTACCGTAACGGTTAATAGTATTATAAGTACGACGGTCTAGTATTATTCCTCTTCACTTATAAGTAAAAGGTCTTAGGTTCGATTATCACCAAAATGAATTTGAACCACATTATAACAAGCTCATTGTGAGGTTAAGCCCACCCCCACCCCCTTAGACTCTATCTAACCTTTGGGTTAAAACCTAAATTTTTAAATCCAGAAACAGTTTTTCTCCTCCAACCCTTCTAAGTTAAAGTTTTAACCCAAGATTATTAAAGAATGAATTTAAGATAATTTTTTTTCTTAAAGTAACTTAAAAAAAATTATGTAGACTATCCTAATTTAATTTTATGAACATTTTAGCTTAAAAACATTTAGATTCTGATAAATATTGAAAAATCACTAAACCGACACCATGAGACTCGTGGAACACTATGAAAGAATATGAAACACATAAAAGTTTTTTTTTTAATTACCTTAGCCATTGGATTTAAATTTGGACAGTTAGGACCTTCTTTTTTTTTTACCGTTGGATTTGATCATATTAAATCTTAGTTGTTGGATTCAATGAATTTATAATTATAAAACTAAAAAAATATACATATATAGTGGACTAGCCACATTAACCGAGAGGAATTTTGACCTAACTTTACCCCAAAAATGAGTTTTGGGTTAAAACTCATATTACCAAGTTGGGGTAAGTTTAGAGCCTCACATTTGAGTTTTATTCCAAGGGTTGGAGTAAGTTTTAGTGTAGATAATATTGTTTGTTAAAAAATTAGTATTATAATCGACAAGTTGAATATTAAATTAGAGAATTGTAATTGGCACTCCAAAAAATTTATTATGCACTTCTTACAAATGTATTGTTCTTTCTAAACATATAAAATTTGGAATACAAAATGAGAATTTTGGAATATGAATAACAAAACTCTTAAATTATTATAACTGATCTTTTTTGTGTGGATTATTTAAAATTTGAGAAATGCTAAGGAGACCCTCTCAAAAGTAGGGTTTTCGATAAACTTTTTGTCACCTCTTGTTTTTTGAAAAATGTTTTGTAATGTTGATACGGAAAATGAAGTTAAATTGTGAGAGGTGGTAATGTGTCCATAAAGAGTCCCAAGTAGCAGATAATCTATGAAGAGTCACATGTTAAGAGAGTGTTCTTAGCTTTTCTCTTAAAAAATTTACCGTAAAATTACAAGGGTGAGTTATAACATTTGTCCAAATAGGACGAACATGTTAACATTAATGTATAACTAGCAGAGAACACATATTTTGTGTGTGTGAACAACTGCCTACCTCCTCTCACGTTCTTCTCAAGTGCAACCGCTTCAGTTCATTCAAACTATAAAAAAAAATCATGATTTCACTTACCTATATGAAAAAATGATGATGAAACAATTTATCTTAGTAAGTGCATATTTTTATCTTATGTAAATATTTTGAAACAAAATTACCATTTTTGCCCTCCTTATGTAAATATTATGTATCAAAAGTGAGGGCAAAATAGGAAAAATGGGAATATGATTGTCATTTTGTCAAAAGGTACAAAATTACTATTTTGCAATCTCATGTTAACATTGTGTATTCAAAAGTGAGGACAAAATTGGAAAAAAAGGGCAAAAAGTTGACAAACCCTCTTCTCTTAATAGAATAAATAAAATACGATGTAAGTGATTTTACAAGGATGAAATGTTATATTTAGTGTTAGGTATACAATGAGGTAGATCGATCAAACACATGTATACCCTATAAGTAAAGATATCTTTTAAATAAAGATAGAAAATAGTTTAAAGCTCTAAAACATATAAAACATTTTCTTAGGCCAAATCGCTTTCTTTAATTATACAAAATTAAGACCAACTTAGCGAATTCATACGCCACAACAATAGTTGCTCGTTCGGTGTGATGCGAGCTAAGTTGAAAATTCGTTAAAGATTTAATCTTTTAGGCTTCATTCTTGACACTTGCCAAACAAGTTGGTAAACTTCATCATGTTTTTTGTTCAACCAAATTGTTAACAAGAAAAAAAAGCCGTCAAAACTCCAAAATGTTTCAGTCAATTATTATTATTTTTTTACTTTGAAGTATCTCTTTGGACAGTAGCATGTTAAAATTACGTGTGAACATGTTCGAACTAGAAAAGTCTAATTCATGCGGCAGAGAGAGAGAGAGAGAGACGTGTCAAATTAATTACATTCATCAACTTTTACCATGCCTTCATTCTCAATGATCATTTCCAAATATTTTTATTAAACTTTTTACTATTTACATATAATTTATATAAATTAGGTTAGGATTACATTGACACATTCCCACCTATCACCATGAAGTTAATGATCATATTCATATGTTACCTGGAACCTTCCTTTTTTTAAAAAGAACTTTAACGAAAAGTTATGAGTACTGTTCATTTTAAAGAAAAATCATATTTTGATACTAAAAGTCAATCATGGTACTATTCACTTAACCTTTATTTTGTCATTTTCATTAAAACTCAAAATTTTCTAACATTTTTAATTAGTTTTTTTTTTAATTCTATTTTTCTCTTTTAACTACCCCAAAATTTTCTAAAAATAGAAGAAAAAAAAAAGAAAGAAACTAATTTGC